TAGGACACTTTACCGAAAGCAGCTGTTGAAAAGGAAAGGAAAAAAAAAACACAAAAAAAAAGAAAAAGGATTTTTTTCGCGTGACAGCTTTCTAACGATACAGTAAGTCTTTAATTTTCCGTTAGTTGTGTTATGGTGTAGGATTATACGTTTACGATATCTACACATTGGATATCGAACAGATAGCTTTCCCGATTTAATGTTCATACGCAACCGCCGGCTGTAAACGCAGAAAAGCGCGAGGAAATCACATGGGATATAAACTCTCCGAGTATACACATAAGAGGGCCTTATACGACAATGTCAAAGCGCAAAAGCACTTGTGTAATCAACATATCGGCTTACCCCAGAGAAACTTTGGAAAAAGTCTCCGTCTTATCTATCGGAAAGATGATTCCGTTTTGGTACAAAATGTTTCGTGTGCCCACGTCGCATTTGCGCGTAAAAGTAACGTACTCAAGAAGAAGAAGAAGAAGAACATCGTACAATGATGCAATATAAGAAATAATATATTATAATAATCGTCAAGAGCGCGCAACGCGCGATGAAACGCGATCGTTTATATTACTCGCAGATGCGAATTGGGTCTCGAGAACGAAAACCCCGTGCGTTATATTATCGTGATAATTCTGTTACGTTATTTTTCGCAATGTCTTGGTTATAATATATATTTATTAACTATATACAAATCGCATCCTCCGTCACGATGTCATCGTGACCGTCGTCATTGCCGTGTCACTATTATTGCCGTTATCATCATTATTACTATTATATAACGCGATTATATTATTTTATCATTATTTTTTTTTTTTTAATATTGCATCACCAGCAACACACGCACGCACACACGCGCACGCACACATACACACATATCAACCGTCATCGTCATCATAGCTATTAATGTTATTTTCATCAGCATCAGCATTATCATTTGACGTCATAATCGTTCTTATTATCGCTATCGCTATCACTATTGCTACGATCGCTATTATTGTTATTATTATCAATTCCCGTATTCTCGTTGTCACCAACGAGTTATCGTAACTAGTTTCATTACTGCAGAGTTTCGCGTGCTGTCATTACCGCTGCCGTTATCACTATATGATCACTATTACATATTATCGCTGCCGCTCTGCTGCTACTGCTACTGTTATTACTACCTTTGGATCAGTACGGTTACTACAAACATTCATTTATTACGATTACGATTGATTACTATGATTATTATTATTATTATTATTGCCACGCATTATTATTATTATTATTATTATTATTATTTTTAAGCAATATCAAATGCATTTTAATATATTTTCATTTTTATATATAATAAGAAATGTACTATATTTGGTTTAATAACTCGTTTGTGTTGTCACTTGTTCTAGTCCACCTATCACATCCTCGACGGAAAAAAAAGAGTAGATTAGAGAGAAGTTTATGTTTTTACGCTTATACGTTTTATACGTTAAACCGCACCAGAGTTTTACCGAAGTTGCGTGCACGAAAATTATGTCGCCGGAATGTTAATACCGAGAAATTGATTCTTTTTCTTTCAGCCGGAAGGTAAGTGACGTAAATGCGATTTGGCGTATCCATTCCCCGTATCTATTCCGAGCGATTGTTCGATTAACGTATTTTCGCAACAAGCATCATCGACACGCCATTAAGCATCAACGATGTTTCTCAGATATCGCAGCGCTCGAATTTACGTATTTTTTTTATTTCGGACGCTGCTGCATTTCGCGCAAGTGAGCTGATATCGAAACCGCTAATATGAAACGCGATTTTTCTCAAAACCACAACCAAACAAAGCAAGTCGAATCCCGTGTGTCAATAGTGAATCGATGTTTTATGCTGTTAGTCTGTCGTATTCGGTAAACCTCGCATTCGCGGTGATGCGAACGAGACTGGAACACAGATAAATATAAGGCAAGATATGAGAAATAAAGTATAGAAGTATATACAATAAAATATAATGCCTATAACAAGGAGAGGAAAACAATCGAAAATCTTACACTTAATATCTACAAAATCAGAAAGAACGTATTTGTGGTACTGTGATTGATTGGAAACGACGTATGTTGGGCATAAACAATCACGCGTTTGAGAATTGCATATATACTTTTATTATTTCACATTCCTCATATCTTACTCTTTATATACTTTTGTGTTTCGACTTCGCGTAAGCCGCACGTGACGTGCGAGCAATCGCGATGGGGATCGGTGTCCCGTTTGATTTTTAATTTTGTTGACAAGTTAACGTAAGAATTTAGAAATCGTCCGCTGATCGCGTTGACGATCAGGACGCGCTGGCCGTGAGGAGTACGAAGTAAGAACGATTCGTTTCATCGGTCAGGAAGCATCCAACACTGATTTCCGGTTTAGAACTGTCTCTCGAGCGAAATGAAATGTCTTCTCGCCGAGTATCTTCGGAGAAGGAGAGAGAAAGAGAGTGAGGGAGAGAAAAGAGAAAAAAAAACTTTCGCATAAGCGGGAAGTTTCTGTCGCGTGTCGGGTGCAAACATAAGACGGTGAGTAAGAAGGAGGAGGGTGCATATCCGCGGAAAGTCGGAAAAGCGAAGGGGAAACCGAAACCGGGGAGAGCCTGTGCCCCCCCCCCCCTCTTCCGAGGCTACCTCGTTCACGCGATCACACGAGTACGAGGGGGATCGATTTCGTAAAGAGTCGCCACGCAGCTCGCCAGAGTCACGCATACTTAATTACGTTTACGTTTATGTTCACGTTTATTTGTTCAAGTTTTATTTCGAGTTGCATGCTTTAAATGTCATCCAGAATGCTCAGTGTATACCTGTACTCTCTCGTCGTCTCGTTTCTCATGTCTGTTAGGCCTTCGTGTACACACATACATCTGAGAATCCGTCGAACAATGTACATGCATATTCATAATGCCGACGCGAGTCGGCAAACGGCTTGTGTATACACATTCCACTTCTCGACGGAGGACTATATGCGAATGTGCGGTTCCATAGGCATTCCCCGTTCCGTCCAAACGAACGAAACCCCTTTTACCTCTCGTCCCGTTCCCCCCCCCCCGCCCCTCTCCCGCGCCTCTCCTTTTCAAGTTTTGTATTGTTACTTTTTTTTTCTCTAAGTGATATTATTTAAGATCTTTTAAAGTGAGATTATATTTTCAGCAAAGCGATACGTTGCTAGGATCTTGAATAATTAATGACAGATTATTCTGAGGTAATTATGGATTGAATTTTTTATAGTAAGAAAGGGAGCATGAAATATTAAAAAAAAAAAATATGTCACACGTAACACGTTTAAGACAACGTATACATTGACGTGAGACTGCATCAGTTTCATGTAACAACGCAACAAGATCTATCGTGGCATTAAAATGCGATGCATTCGCGCGTAGGTACGTTGAATAACCTTAATAAATGATCTCGTCTGCCCATTTCGAGCGCATTTGTCGCGGGAAATATACGTGCAACGCGTATGAACGTCCACGCGATCGCGATGACGCAACTCTCTCTCTCGAGAGTCTCGAACTACACCAGACCAGCGCCAACGACTTGTGTAATGTCGCATGTCAATGACAATAGAAAGAGTCGAATACATCCCTCGATATGAAGGAGAAAATTAAACGCACAAATTCTACGAAGCGCCATCCGCCTTCTTTTTCCCCGTAATTTTCTCCCCCTTCCTCCCCCCNCCCCCGCGAAGGTACATGCACACACACATTCACATATGGTGTATACACATACAAGCACGTGCGCGAGAAACGTTTTCGGGCGTGCGTTCATCCCCGGTGCGTATGATCATGCGGTGTACCTACCTTACGTGTACGTATATATGTGAATTACCTCATGCATGTGCGTGCGCGCCTCCCGTCCCGTACCCTCTTTCCGCATTAGCAGTGACCGGAGTTCCGAACAAGACCCCAAGAGGGAGGGGTGGAGGGTAGGGGAGGAGGCGAGGAAGGGGGAGGAAAGTTGCCGGTGAAGAAAGTTCTTACTTCGCCTCCCCACGAAGAGAAACAGAGCGCGCGTCGCGGCGTCGATTCCTCCACATCTCTCCGGTACTTCTTTCCCCTTCCCCCCCCCCCTCTCTCTTTTTGTTTCCAAGGACATGGCGTAACGCGCGTAATTGCTTCTCTAAAGGATGCGAGTCTCGTTTTTAATGATTTGATTAAATGCGCGGGGCGTGATATACAGTATAGAGAAAAGATAGAAGAAAAAGAAGAAGAAGACGAAGAGGCGCGAGGCAGATTTCGCGCAACGAAAAGGGTTGATTTCCTCGCAGTCACGCGCATTGATCGTCGGATTTGCGAAATTAATTTGTAAAAAATTTCTCCCCAGCGGCTATCTTTACGGCTAAGTTGAAAGTGAATTTCGAAATCCGTACACGTCGTTCGTTTCAAATTTCTTTACAAGCGCGATGTAAGAGGATTAAAATCGCCGCGAGGATACTCACTCTTGGGCAAACGATTTATCGCGCGCGCGAGAGAGAGAGAGAGAGAGAGAGAGAGAGAGAGAGAGAGAGAGAGAGAGAGAGGAAAAAAAAGAAACGAGATAAAGTAAAATTTTTCAGAGAAATATTAACGGCATACGATTACTTAACGTGGGATCACTCGCAATAGTTTCACGATTTAATAAGAATTGATGGCACTTGTCACGTTTATGTACTCGCTACGAGATATCGATCGTCACAATAACGAACGGATGTGGCCGTGAAACCGTTCCGTTAATCGGTCTGTTGTGAAGGTACGAGAGCTCTTTAAATATAGATGCGCGCGCCTACCGTTTTCGAGCTGCGAAAGGAACCGCACGATTGAGATCCACATAAGCTATAGTCGAGAGAATACAAGCACGACACTACCTAACAAAAAAAAAAGAGCATTCGAGTGAGATTCGAGTTCGCGGCCGTTTTTTTCCCCCTTTTTTTCCTTGGCGGTCGCGGTATAGGGTTTAAGTGTGTTGTGGGGGTGTGCAGCTGCATGAGAGGTGCGTTGTTGTGTTTCAGTGCTCACCTCTATGACGGGGCTGACCTTGAACTCTCTGAACACCCAGTCAGCGAAGAAGTTGTTCACCTGCCAGCTGTGCGGCAAGGTACTATGCAGCAAAGCATCCCTGAAACGCCACGTTGCCGACAAACACGCCGAACGACAGGAGGAGTACAGATGCGTCATCTGCGAGCGGGTCTACTGCTCGCGTAATTCCCTGATGACCCATATATATACCTATCATAAGAGCAGGCCCGGCGACATTGACATTAAGTTCTTTTGAAGGTTTAGATAAGGTAGGGACCATGCTAAACACACCTATGGCGCACAGCATTTCGAAGATATATACTTTAACATAGTCTCTCAAAACTCACTCCTATACGATTTAACAAACATAATTACACATTTCTTTCCTCTCGCTATCTCTCTCTCTCTCTCTCTCTCTCTCTCTCTTTTCCTCCCGCTCTTTCATCCTTTTTCTCTCTATTTTTTTTTATTCTCTTTCCTTCTTATATATCCGCAAATACATATCGAAACGCGCACGCTTGTTTTCCGGCTCTTTCTCGCCTCTTTTCTCATTCCCAATTTTTTTCCGCATTTATTCTCGCGCATAAAAAAATGTATAAATTTTCGCGTCGAAAGATGCATCGTCTTCTCTCCGCCCGTCGTCATCGTCCTCCCGTGCGTACTTCGGAAAGCTTGTGTTTCCTTTTCCTCCCTCTCATTCCGCGCCGGCACTCCGCGAATGGTGCATGCCACGGTGAGAAACCGGTCTCGACTCTTGCACGCGGGGACCTTCTTTCTCTTCTTGTTCGTCTTACGGTCCCGCGCACCGCCGCCGCGGCCGCCGCCGCCGCCGCGCGCCGTGTCCCGGCATCCCGGCTCTCGCGTAACTGCTTTCTTTCCTCTTATCCCGTCGTCCTTCGCGCCCCTTCGGTACCGTACGCGCTCGCTGATCGAGTTCTTCCGGTATTCGCCGGTCCGTTATACCTGCTGTCAGTGACTCCGAATCCCTCCGATGCATCAGTGAAGCAGCATGCCGCGTAGCTATACATTTGGCGCATTGATAGCAGCACGGGGTTTACGGAGGATGGGTTTTTCTTTTTTTTTTTTCTTCTACCAAAGAGGCGGAAGAAGTCTACAGAGTCTTGCTAAAGACGTTTTAAACTTTCCGCGGTGTCTCACTTCTCTCCTTTCGACATTTCGCATTCTTTGGGAAATGTATGTGTCATTTACATATAACAAAGACCTCGGCGCTTCAACGCTGTGACATTACAAACACATAACAAACTGAAAGCAACCGAATGCTATTGCCGCTTTCATATTGCTCTCGTATTGATGCTTGCAGCGCAAATATCGCTATCATTATATACTGTTATATAGTAATCATTATGGAGTGAAACGATCGGCGGAGCTATTGTACCTTCTATTTCAACCTATTACGTGTAATGTCACACAATTGGAGTGTCGAGGAGGCTTCATCGTAAGAATTTCCTCTGCGTAGATTTTCTTAGTTTGTATCTGTAACATTATAAAAAGAAAAAACTATTTGCGCTGACATTATCAAAGTCATTACACAATACTGAAAGCATATTGAAAATTATCTCTTAGTGATTTGCAGATTGTTGATAATTTCTGCGAATTCTTGTGTTAAATCTTGATGAAATAGCATGTTAGTTTCCCGACTTAGTTTCCTGAAGAGTCATATGGATAGGTAGATGGACACGGCGAGTTTGGAAACTTTTGAGTAACTGACTAATACGTTAAGAACGATCTATCATCTCTCGATAGGAACCTATCACGAAGACCTTTAATTAACTGATCTACGTCTTTCGTATTCTTTTCTGTGTGACGTTCCCGTTCCCGCCACATTTCGTGCTTCCTCACAATTTCTCTTCTTTCAAATCACCGACCTGCTCGATCCACCTACTCGTCGCTTGCTTGTTTGCATGTCCTCCCGATTGTCCGCCTGCTGTCTGCCTGCTTGCTTGTAGCTTTGGCTACGTGTCTTGTCTTGATTATTTCGCATTTCTTGATTATTTTTTCTATGTTAATACTATCGGATCCTCGCGCTGAGTCGGAAGAGAGTATCACCGACACACCGACACGTCGATGGGAAAGATGAAAATTGCATGATTTGAAAAGCGATCGGCGATTCGGCAGAGCCGCCACGATTGGCAGAAATTTCGCGCATTTCGCGAGAGCGCATAAAATCTAATCGTAACGTCTGCCAATGCATTTTTGCAAGGCGAACGTTATATACGTTAAAAATACGATGTAACCTTTAAATTCGTTAAATATTTTTTAGTATGTCACTTTACGTTTATTGGATGATACTTTTTTTTAATATTATCAGCATTTTATTTTTGCTTTTCTGTTGTCATCTTTTATGGATTCGGAAACCGATACGAAATCGCCCCTTTTTATTTAACAATAAGCGAACGTCGAGTAACCAGAATTACCGTAAGGTATATCTCAATGCAAAAGTTATTATACTTGTGCGATCGCGAACTCTCGAGATTTGTTTCTCACGTTTCAATCTTCGATTTTCACTTAACTTGTCTTTGGAGATTTCTAATCCGTCCGATTAATTAACCGTGATTACACGACTAACTGTGAAAGTAGCGTGTGCGAAATTTTCAGCACGTGCATATATAACACGTCACACTACACACTCGCGGTTGTCAGTAACTTCTATCAGCGGATCGTTTCTAATACGCTAACGCATACTAATCGCTAGCTCGATGCACGCGGTATAATACACAGATCCCTTTTCTCTTTGTCCCTTTTCTCATTTCCTCTTCCTCGAGCCCGGGATCTTTTTGGCCATCTCGTGTCCCATTCCGGATACTCGATAAAACTCACAAGAGCATAATAGGAACGACTATATGTCTATCTATAACAAATTTATCTACCTTATTTATCTATACGGAGCTTTTTTGCGATTCGCACACAACTCCGCATCATTCTGAATTCTTTTCTTTCCAAACGCAATCAAACTTCCGCAAGCCAGAGTTGGTGGATTCCGGGAGAATACAATTTTCTCTTACACTAATTTATATATCTAATAATATGTATTACTATATACATACGAATCTTTTGCTGCATCACAATTTTTTTAGTTTACATTTTTCGTTATTCACATTATGATATTTGTATTGTTTGTAAAATTAAGTATGCAAATTATAGTTGTTATGATTTAAATCGGATTGATTTCTCGAAATCGAGTTTTCAACTTTTTAACACTGTTTCCGAATTTAATTTAAAACTGAGTTATTTCATATTTGGCAAATAAACGAGTAAATGCAGCGACGAGTTTTCAAGATGAAAACTAGCTCGGCCTTCGACGAGACGCATGGAAGTACCAGCTCTGAGCTTCCGACGATCGACGCATCTTATCGATGTGTCATCCGACCGTCACTGCGACGTCGATCGATCGCGTTTTTACCACATCTAAGACGAAGCGATTAAACGGAAGCATCGAAGCCGTTAGAATTTCGACGACGTCGATCTTACGTGCTGTAGACGCGAGAGAAAGAGTGCATCTCCCTTCCCTCCCCCCCCCTCTCCCCCGTCGACACGTTCACAGCGAAACCCACTAAAGATCTTCTATTTCCCGCGTGTCTACAGCAAGTCGAGAAAGCAAATCTCTCTCTCGTCGAAATTACACCGGTTTCGACATGCGTGTGTATACCCCGACCGGGTGCAGGATAGTCCCCCCGTCGAGAGCGGTCTTATACAGTTCTGGATGCGTTTCAGGTACGGGCAACGGGATGCATCCGGCACCGACGACGCCTCCCACTGTCATGTACCGAATGCCACCACCCACGGCGGGTGGCATAAACGAGCCTCAGGAATGCCCGTACTGCCGTCGCACGTTTTCATGCTACTACTCCCTCAAACGCCACTTCCAGGACAAACACGAGCAATCGGACACGCTATACGTCTGCGAGTTCTGCAACCGTACGTACCGTACGAAGAACTCGCTGACGACGCACAAGAGCCTGCAGCACCGCGGCACCTCAGGCGTGCTGAGGAGGCTCCTGAAGGCCACGGCCATGAAGAACGTCTTCGGCACCATGCAACACCAGATGCAGATGCAGCAGCAACCGCAATGAAAATGTCGGAAAAATCAAAGTCACCCTGTGCCGCGTCGTCGTCGTCGCCGCCGTCACCGTCACCGTCACCGCCGCCGCCGCCGCCGTCGCCGCCGTCGTCGCCGCCACCGTCGTCGTCGTCGTCATCGCGCCGTCGCTATCGTCGTCGTCGTCGTCGATTTCTCGCGCGAATCGCTCGACTGGCGTCATCAGGCACGCAACCTGAGAACCAAGGCCAGATTATTATCAAGAGAACACGGAAGTTACTGCTTTGCGTATCCCGCGAGTTACGCTCCCGTACTCCCGTATTTGAGCCGCGCTCAAGTCGGTTGGCTCGGGCTCGCGGTTTATCGAATCGCGACTTGCCACAAAAGTCGGTTAGCCGCACAGGCCGCACAAGATCGTTTTCTAAGCAATTTCTCTATGTTACTGATAAACGAGAAAACGGGGGGCGGGTAATCATTGATTACACGGTCAAGTCAACCCGAGATCATCGATGCGATTCGCATTACGAAGCTATAGATTAAAGTGAATTAGCAGCAACCTGCATGGATTAACGACATTTGTCTTGTTTCTCCGCCTACGCTGTATTTAGGTTTTTCGTGATCCGGAAGAAGAGAGAGACCGTGGCAAATCGCTAAATCGAGATTAGTGAACCCGGGAGCAATTTAGCTCTTGTTAAGTTGCAACGAAGCCCCTCGTAATTTCAACGATTAATTTACTCTTATTTACTCGCATTTGCGGAGCGCATAATGCGCATAATATCGCGATCGTAAGACGTTTAGAAACGGGAAACGGATTGAAAGAGAAGGGAGGAAAGCAGAGAGTATATAGCGTGGAATATTCCGAATATCGTGCGGATGAGAGAGATTATTCAGTCTGATAACAAAATCTCGGCATTTTCTCCCAGTTTTCCCCCTCGCTCTTGCGTCGTCCACCGAGAAACAAAAGCGCGATTCTTTTAGTTTCTAGACTTCGCCGCGGCGTAGCGTTGTAATTTTTTTTTTTTCTTCGTCAAGACTGCAATGAATCCAAAGAAGGACAATTTTACTGAGAAGCTTGTAAATTCGACTGAAACGCGAAGGGAGGGGAGAGAGGAGGCTCGAACGTTTTAAGTTTAGTGCGCGAAGCAAAGACACATTCCATTGTCGCGAGCGATCGGGATGCTGGGTGACGCCGACTGCGCGCCCGGCGAGACTCCGAGCGGAGAATCTACGCGTGGGACGCGTTTTCGAGGACGACATATGATCCCGCCGCGAGTTTATTATTATATTATTTTTTTTCTTTCTTTCGTTCTCTAAGCTAAAAATTTGCCCAAAAAGCACCCAAGCGGAAAGATTGGGGAGGGATGTGATTAAGACGAGGGTGAACGTTTGGGGAGGAGGGGGGTGAGAGGGGAAACAGTCTTCCGGAAATCGTTTCCGAGATTGAGTTTACGTTGCGGATGAAATTCTTTTGCATTCGGGCGCTCTCGCGAGAGACGCACGCCTAACGATTTTCACACGTAGACAAACGAAAAAAAAAAAAAAAACAGGTACGCCTAACCGTCGCGAACGACGTCGCGCGTCGTCGCGTTACGCGATCTCGGCCTCGTGCCGCGGGCTCGCGGAAATTGCGTCGCGCACCCCACGCGTGCGAACGGGGGATGATTCCGCGAATGATCGGGCATGGAAACCTCGCTCCGCGGAGGCACGTAGAAACGGGCAGCTTGACATACCGGGACGCGGAGCCGGCGTTCGAAGCGTCCAGTTGCGGACGAACGGGCGATCCGAGGGGCAGGGGACGGGGAGAGGGGACACAGTCGTGATGATCGCGAATGAGATTGGGAATCTGGCGTTTCGATTCTGCATGCGTGTTACGATGCACACGTGTGTGCATGCCGAGTGCACTTTCGCGCGAACCGCGGACGCGCCGCGAGATCGTTTATGCGTATATATACATATATATATTGATTCTCAACGAGGGGAGGGGGGAGGGCTGGGGGCGGGGGACGAAGCGAATCGACGACGTTAGGCCTAAAGAGGCGAAGCGCGCTGATGCACCGAGGACGCAGCTCCAAAAACGCTCGAAAGTGACGCCGATCGGTGAAAAGTGATCGCGGCAACGGCGGCAATCGAGGTCGAGACGTGCTGCTAATCGACGTGGAGAGCTCGTCGATTAGCATAGAAGTGAGGGAGGGTGGGTAGGAGGGGAGGGGACGGGATCGGCTTTACGAGAGACACGAGAGAAGAGAAAGGCAGAAGAGAGCCGTGTATAGACGCGGAGGTGGTAGAGATATATCATGGGTTCTTAACGTGTGTATGTAGATTCGTCGTATGCGCTAAATACAAACTATATTTTTAACTCTTTAAAAGTAATATTTTGAGCTGTAAATATATTATATTCGTACGATACATCGATAAACGATGATATTCTCCTGTTCAGATTTTATAAAAATCGGCATAGTCCTACGTAGGTATCTCACGAGGACGGGCGGAGCAGTGCTGCCGGAGCCTGAACGACTCCCGCTTCCCGATTACTCTCCTTTCGCATTTTTCGCGAGCATTTAAAATTATCTCCGCGCGCGACGCGCGTGCTTTTTTTTTTGAACAGCCAAGAAAATCAGCCGGTTTAATTAAGCCCGGGTTTAATTAATAAAAAGAAAATTATGTTTCGTTTACATTCCGTCTCGTTTGTTTTTACCCCGTTACGTCGCGAAGCGCTTTTCCGACAAATCGAACTCTAAACGGTCGAAGTGGCCGCGGCTCGCGCGCAAGAGAGAGAGAGAGAGAGAGAGAGAGATTATATGGGGCGCTGCTCCGCCCCTCGAACTTTAATATATCCACATTAACAAATGTACAAGCAAGAGGAAAACCCTAAAAGTTGTTCATCGTAACATATTCAGGTTTAAAACTCAGCGTAGAGAACGAGAAAAAAAATGTTGATGTTTTATCTGTAAGGCGAAAAAGAAAAATGCCATAATAATTAACGAGCAAGTACAAATTATCATGGGAAATATAAATTATGTCTACGTCTAACTCTTAGGATGCGTAGTTATCGGAAAGGGAATATTTAACGGAGGCGCGCGAAAAAGGGGGGGAGGGGGTGGAAATCAGAAACGACGGGAAAGGACCTGCCACGAATTTAAATTTCATTCGTGTCTGGGTGAAAAGGATTAAAGGGGCGAACGGGAAAGAGAGAAGACAATGCGCGGGAGAAAGTGGGGAAAGGGTAAAAAAAAGCACGAGTTTTCAAACATATCTTCGAAGTGTGAGGTATACTGTGAAAAATATACGATTTTAGATATTTAGCTATCTCTCTCTACCGAGAGATTTTATAATTATTACGTATACATTCTTAAATCGGTGGACCGATTCTTGATCGGTGACGTTTTGGCCAGGACATAATGTGGAGGGCAATATCGAATTGTGAACGACAAGCGCGGCCGAGACCCGCGAGACTTTACGTTCTTGTCTTTCTTCTTCTCTTTTCTTAAAAGAAGGAAAAAAAAGTCACTTTTTTGAGCTAAGGGCTGGCGCGATTGGTTAGTGAAAAAAAAAAAGAAAAGAAAATTTATCCTAGTCATTCCGGAAATTTTTGTGATTCTGTGATATCGGGGGATCGTGGCATCAAACGATTCGACGAAGGACGAAAAGAGAGAGAGACTAAAAAGAAAAAGAAAACAAGTGTATGTCTGTCCACATTATGATCGCCGGGCGTACTTTTGAAAACTCTTCTGGCGAACGGAGAAAAGGAAATTGATAATTGATTATTAAAATAATGTCGGGAAATTTCTGTGATGTTCTTCGGTTGGTATACTAGCGCGACTGCGAAAGCTATGTGAATGGAAAAAAAAAGTATACGGAATTTATGTCGATGTTCGGTGTTGTACGATGTATTGTAAGGGGCGAGACTGTATCGGGGGGGAAGGGGGGAGGGAGCGGAAAAAAAAATTTCATCATATTGCTTTGAAATTTTCGTGATGGGGTGGGGGTAAGAACGGGGTGTGTGTCGGGCAACCGCTGATCCGGTTTTATCGATCTGACAGAGAAACGCGTCGTTCCTTCGCGGCAAATAATTTTATTTTTAATCCGATTCTATATTTATTGATGAAATGTGAAAAGAGGGGGAGGGGGGGACGATCAAAGTTACGCGACTCAATCGGCAATCCCGATCGTTTTCATTTCGTATTCAAAATTCCACGGGTATACGTGTACGACATCGAGAAGTGAAATTTTTCTCGTACGGCACGGCGTAAGTGCAGTGCGGAACGATCGCGCGAACGATCAACTGTTGCCACTCACCGCCTGATAGACTTTAGTCTAGTGTAAACGTCTAGTAAACGTTCGCACGCGCGCGTGTTGTGTTGGGTGGATAAGTACACGCGCACGAGTGTGCGTGCGGAGAGGACGTGCTTATGCGCTCCCGCTCATACATGCAACGTCCGCATGCACACGAGGCACGTATAACTGCTGCAGGGTAAACGACCCATTACACGCCGACGCGAACGCGAGAAAGAGAGAGAGGAAAAAAAAGAGAGAAAAAAAAAGAACCAGAGAGAACGACTATAGATTATTTATCGGAATGTGCCAAGGTCCCGAACCGTTTACACGGACGAAATTTTAGGGTAGGTTTACGCGCCCCGTCTCTCCCGTCGGGAGGAGGAATATTATCAATATTAATCGTTTTAGGATATGTCTGAGCTACTATTTAACGAAACAAAAAAAAAGTGGAGAAAATTATCGTGAAAAATCTTTTGGGATTTTTAATGTGTATGGAAACTTTTCGTCTTGTATGGTTTATCGTAAGAGGAGAGGGAGAAAAAAAAAGAAACCCCGAAAACCGCGTGTGAGAAGAGGTGCGGTGAAAATATTTTCGAGTCTAATCTAAACGTGTTATATCTTTCGCTCGCATCCTGTGTATAACTTCGCGCGTGTACGCGCATACTCGTGCTGGAGAGAGGAGACGTAAAGGAACCGCGCATTTCCGAAATGAGAGTGAGCGAGGGCCGATCGACCGTGTAACATACACATTCTAACCGT